TTTCCGCATATACCAGGTTTATTTGTGGTTCACGTCGGGTAGAAGTGCCGTAGGAACACCAGACGTCAATCGGGAGTCTCTCTCTCTCTCTCTCTCTCTCTCTCTCTCTCTCTCTCTCTCTCTCTCTCTCTGCCCCTTTCTATTTGTCTCTCTTTTCCTCCTTCCTCCTCTTCTTCTCCCTCTCACTCCTCTCTCTTTTTCTCTCTCTCTCTCTCTCTCTCTCTCTTCCTCCCTCTCTTTCTCTCCCTTTCTCATTTTCTCTCCCTCTCTCTCTCTCTCTCTCTCTCTCTCTCTCTCTCTCTCTCTCTCTCTCTCTCTCTCTCTCTCTCTCTGTTGCTGAGGTCGCTCACTCGATACTTGCCCCTTTAAACACAACTCTTCAACGTTTGAAGTGTACTTCGACACGTAGAGCTCGATATATCTTTCCTTACCAATCATTCACGATAAACATGTATATATATATATATATATTTATTTATTTATTTATTTTTTTTTTGTTTTTTGTTATAGCCTTTTTAAAAAAATTTTTTTAGCATATTATTTATTTGTTTGTTAATCACTCTATACAATGTAAAGTCATATAGATATATATATATATATATATATGTGTGTGTGTGTGTCTGTGTATGTGTGTGTATATTTAAATCTTATATTTATTTTGTTTCTATAATATAATAATATTTATTATTTATATAATGACATTATATAATCTAATATAATAATACCATATATTATAATAATGAATATTATAACTTTCAAATATCTATATGATTTTATTATGAACGCGTTAAAAAAATATTTTGGTTAAATAGAGATGTCCAATGATTATTAGAAAAATTCTTTATAGTTATTATATATGAATTATTTTATATTAGTTATTGTATATTATTTCTTGTTTTTTAAAATGTAAAGAAAGAGAGAGACAGAGAGAGAGAGAGAGAGAGAGAGATACAAAGAGGGAGAGAGAAAGAGAGAGGGAATGGTTGGTTGAGGCCGGGGTGGCCCAGATTGCAGTCTATAAGCGGATCAGTATAGAGACATGGTTTGTTGCCTTTCAGCTTTTCGCTGCCTTTCAAAGGCCAACGTTAGTTTAAAAAAAAAAAAAGGAAACTTTTTAACTATATACTAAATAAAATAAAATTTGACAATAAGTCAATATATATATATATATATATATATATATATATATATATAAAATAATCATTTTTAATAATAATGTATGTATATTTAAAATTTCATTATATTTTTCTGTCGCAATAACATTTTTGTTTTGTTTTGTTTGTTATATACTTATTAAAAAGAAATTAAATTTCTTATCGTATTAAATAATAATTATTATCAATATGCGATCATATCTATGATCTTATTAATTTACGATCGTATGATCAAGATATCTTTTTATTATATATGTTGTACGTGTATAGATCAATTTGATAAATTTCATTTTTAATCACCTACTATATTTTCATCATCTGCTATATTTTTATATATAATTGTTGATAATTATGTCATTGAAAAATGTATTAATTCAAAGTGTACTTTAGTATATAGTATCATCGATTACAATATATATATATATGTATATATATATATACGTATATTGTATATACTTATAATAATTATTACGAAGAATAGATTCTGATAAAACAGAAAGAAAAAAAAAAAAGAAAAAAAAAAAGAAATTACATATATCGCAAGAAAAAGGTCGCGAGAGACGCGTTTCCGTGAAGTCTATGTAACTATGGCGGGGAAGTGAAGTTTAGTACCGAAAATAAAGTGGCCGAAGCACATTCATGGCCAAGTGAAATTATTATCAACGAGAATTCACGTCGCCAGGAAGTGATTGTTGGTAGTCCGGGATATAAATTTTTGAAATTTGTTCGTCTAAAAAATAATGTCTAAAAAGAAAAAAAAAAAATTGCCTTTTCGTTACTTCTTCTTCTTCTTCTTTTTTTTTCCTTTCATTTCTTTTTTTTTTTTTTCCTTTTCATTCCTTCATGTTCTTTTCTTCCTTTCGTTTCTTTTTCTTTTTAATTTTTTCTCTCTCTTCTTACCTTTTAATATCCCTTCATATATATATATATATATATATATATATATATATATATATATATATATATATATCAATTAAGTGACCGCATTCTTATTATGATTTTCAATGCGCAAAATGCACGCACGTTTAACGTCCGTGCGTTTAAATTCAATGCGTGTATACGCGAGTGGGACACAGCTGCCTGATCGTAGATCAGATCGACGTTGATCTTGCTCCGTTTTGGGAGAGCCAACTGATCGAGATCATGTGAATAATCTTATCTGATCTAGAAAGAAAGAGAGACGAAAAGAAAGACAGAGAGAGAGAGAGAGAAAGAGAGAGAGAATGACGATGATAATAACAATGATTTCGATCAGGTCGATAACACCAAGACGAAATAATATATTACATACTTTTGTTTTAAATTTGCATTTGATCAATTTGTTAATTAATTATGATATTATTATTTTTGTTTGTTTTAGAGTCACCAGGTGGTCTTGTTTTTGGTATACCACTTCCTCAATGTCTTGAGAACGATAGGATCGCTAGAATTGCTGCTGGTGAGGTTGCCGATGTTGGTAGTTTGACGAGAAGTAGTAGACACGGAAGTAGAACGAGTTTTAGCAGTCTAATAGAGGCACCTACGGTTGCAGCGAAAACCGAAGATGTAAGGAAATTACAATTGTTTCGTTGCTTTCCTCGAGAAGAGAAATTCTTCTTTTTTCCTTTTTTTTTCTCTTTTTTTTTTTTTTCGATCACTAATATAAAGATAAATATATACGTACATAGATACATACATACATATATACATACATATATTCATTCATACATACATAAATATATACATACATGCATATACAGATTGATATCATTGTGGATTTAGTATGTTAGTAATAGTTTAGTAGTAGTAGTAGTAGTAGTAGTAGTAGCAGTAGTAGATGTAGGAATAGAAGGAGATATAGTAGTAGTAGTAATAGTAGTAATAGTAGTAGTAATACGGGTCAACGAATTGTCAGGCATAAATCAATGGATCGGAAGAAAATAACATTTGATATTCGTGAAGATTTAACTCTAACAGATAGAGTAATTATTTTCATAATGGGATACGGTTTGTAGTAACGGTGACGAGAGTGTTAGCGACTAGCAGTAACCTTCTTTGATCCACCTACGCGCTAACATAAGACTTAGAAGCTTAGTAGACGTTTAGAAGCGAGCGAATGATCTTTTGAAATGACGTGGAAACGAAAGGAAATGAAACGAAACGAAACGAAACGAAACGAAACGAAACAAAACGAAACGAAACGTTGCGAAAGAATTTGCTTTGTCATTCATTGTTGACGATATATTTGCATATGATATATGTTTAAAAAAAATGTAAGAAATATTGGAACATACTCATTTTCTTTTTCTAGCAACGCGATCGATCTATTTTGCTACTTTATTTTCTTATTTGAATGATCCATAAAGTAATTTTATTATGTTTAGGACATTATTATTATTATTATTATTATTATTATTATTATTATATTATTTTTAATGATCGATAAATAAAAAATTTATATTTCTTTTATATTTTCTAATGATCTATGAAATAATTATATGTATATATATATATAGATCATTAATATTATTCTTATTATTATTATTATTTCAATGATCGATGGATAAAAATTTCTTTATTGTTTTCAATGATCTATAAAAATATTGTATATATAGATCATTGTAATTATTGTTCTAATGATCGTGATATTCTATTTAAAGATAGATTCGTGGTAACGATAAAAAAAGAAGTACATATACAAGGGAAGTCTTAGGGATTGATTGATCGCAATTGGCATATAAAGTGCCACGGTCAAAGTCGTCTCGACTTCACCCAAAATTATCTCGTCATCGTATTCTTATCGTCATTGTCTCATCGTCATCGAATAATCCGACGAATCGTCCGACGATTATCGGATGGCTACTTGCCGAGCTTTTCGACCAGAAAATCTATTTTTCGATTGAATACGTCATGTTACATTCTACATCACGTCGACATTTACTCTATATTTTGTTTCGTTCGAAAGCATTCACGAAACTTTTCGAGAGATAGATAGATAGATAGATAGAAAAACGATGACGAGATCAACATGAACGAACGATGATCTATTTTGCCAAAAATCTTGAAATTCGTTTCGTTAAGTTTCGTTAATATTTAATATTTAAAAATATTTTACACACATATATATATATATATATATATATATATATTCGATTTTATAAAAGAAATTAACGATGTGCTTATGTATCGTATATAATTGCTTTGTATATCGCTTATTTTCTTTTTTTTTTTATTTTTTTAAATTCATACGTTCCAATTATATTTGTTTTAATTAATACGCCCGAATGCATGTAACAATCTATACATTGTCGGTAATATTACGTATCAGCAGGATTTGTCAGTAAACAATTTTTTTTTATTCCTCATAGTATGCAACACCGTTATACATATGTGAAACTTGGTGTTGCATAATCCAAGGGACAATAAAAAAATTCTTTACTGATAGATGGCGTTGACATGCAATATTATCAACGATGTCTGGAGGATTGCTTATCTCCAGGCGTAACATTTCGCGCATAATTAAATATTAAACAAAGAAAGAGAGAAAAAAAAGAAATCAATAATTTCGATAAATTAATAATAAATAATCACTTTGAACGAAGGAAAAGAAGAAGAAGAAGAGGAAGAAAAAAAAACACGAAAGAAGAAATAAATAATAATAATTCGACGATGAAACAATGATTGTAAATCATTAATATTTATATCTTTCATCGATTATTTATTATTATAATTATGAGTTGTTATATGAGGAAAAAAAAAGAAAAAAGAAAGAAAAAAAAAAGAAAAAAGAAAAAAGAAAAAAGAATATATTCTTTTTGATGATTGCAATCAATTAGTGTGCGTAACTTTTGGCTAGCTTAGATCGCCGGGTAGATACTCGTGAACGTTTAAAAGAAAATAAAAAGGGGAAAACACAGATGCAATTCTTGCGTCGACAAAAGACGTCACGTGTGTTCCTCGGGCCGATGCTGTGTGACGTCACGGAGATCGACGGACGTAAATAGAATACACAGGGCCGAGGATCGCTAATTTTAAACGATCTATTAATTAGGATCATATACAATTTTCTTACGAATGAAACATATTATTTGTATTCTATCATAGAATAATATCTTTAATTGTATATCCATTTTATTCTTTTATTGTGTCTTTTAATAAATTTTCTTTTTTTTTTTTTTCTTTTTCCTTCTCTCTCTATCTCTTTTAAAAATGAAGGTACGACGAAAGATATAAAAATTTAATGAAAAGATCTAGAAGACGAAAAAGTAGAAGAATAATTGATTTTTAAAAATCATCAGAGAAATCTTTTGATTTTTTCAATCAATTGTAAATCTGTGCATGTTGATATTGTATTTTGAAAAATATTATAATATATCAATAATGATTTTTCAATTATCATATGATGATTTCTTTTTTTTTCTTTTGATTTCAGGGTGGTTCCTGTGAATCATTATCGTCGAAAGGTGGGGGTGCATTGACCGGAAGTGATTCTGGTGTTCTCGAATTGAGCGACAGCGGTGGGGGAGGGACAACAGGTGAATGGGATGCTGTACCAGGAATAGTTAGACAATGTATTAGACATCTCGAAGCTACTGGTCTGCGTACGTTAGGTATCTTTCGAGTTTCACCTTCGAAGAAAAGGGTTAGACAGGTGGGTCATCGTTCATGATAATTACGGCAAACACATACGCACACACATGCGCTTAGACAAAGATTCTATATATTACATTTTATCCTTCTGCGTGGAGGAAGAAATTTTTTCTTTCTCTTTTTTTCCCGTTTTTTTTTTTTTTTTTTTTTTTTTTTTTGATTTACACAAAAAAGTAACGTAAATTTTCAATAAAATTATTATTGGAATTAAAGAAAAATTACATTGCAAATATTTATATGTAGTCATAAAAATTTGTAATAAGAAGAATATGTGAATTATTCTTTTCTTTTTTTTTTTTTTTTTTTTTTTAATTTTAATTTTAATAATAATTTTATATTTTATTATTTTAAAATATTATATATATATATATATATATATATATATATAGATATAAATTTCGTTTTAAATAAAAATTTATTTCATGTAAAAATCATTGAAACTTTAAATGATCATTCGAACGATAATTAAAATAAAAGAAAGAAAGAAAAAAAAAAAAAGAAAAAAAAAGAATAGAAAAAGAAAGAAAGAAAACAAGGCAACAAATGTTAAGATAAATGAGAGATAAACGAAGCACTATAAAAATTCCAGTTGAGAGAAGACTTCGATTGTGGTCGTGAGACGAAAATTGGTCCTGATCAATGTCCTCACGATGTGGCAGCCTTGCTAAAGGAATTTTTTCGGGACCTGCCTGATCCTCTTCTCTGTAGGGATCTCTATCAAGCCTTCGTGCATACCCAAAGTAAGAAAGGCATCATTCAAAAATTAGCATTAAACGAAAACATGGGATGATAAAGAATAAGAATTAAAAAAAAAAAAAAAAAAAAAAAAACTAAAAAAATAAATAAATAAAAAGAAAAAAAATACAATAAATAAGAAAAAAGAAAGTAGAAACTGAAAAAAATGTACAGAGCTTTGTTTAAATGGAAAAAAAAGATAAGGTAAAATAAAAACGAAGGCTTTTGAAAAAGCAATAGAACGAAAAAGAAAGAAAGAAAGAAAGAAAGGGGAAAGAAATTTTTTATTTTCATTTCCTTTTTCGTTTGTTTGTTTGTTCGTTTTATTTTTTTTTCGTTTATTCGTTTTTCTTTCAATTTTTTTCTTTTTTTTTTTTTTTTTTTTCTCTCTGAAGAAAATATCCTTGTAATTTAATTTATCAAATAATTAAATAAATAACTAAATAAGTAAATTATTTCTCTCTCTCTCTCTTCTCTCTCTCTCTCTCTCTCTCTCTCTCTCTCTTTCTCTCTTTCTCTCTTTCTCTTCTCTCACACGTCCACGACGATATCTTTTATCTATAATTCTAAAAATAAATTTTCAAATGTTAATGATGATTTATTTCAGAGATTAGGAATAGGCGATTGCAACAGGAAGCCCTTCAACATCTTATTCAATTACTGCCAACGCCTAATCGCGAGACACTTTGGGCATTGCTCAATTTTCTTAGTGTCGTTGCATCGAATAGCGAGGATCGAAAGAGTGAAACTGGCGAATGGATACCAGGAAACAAAATGAACACTACCAATTTGGCTACCGTTAGTAATTACATTTTTTTTGTTTATCAATTTCAACATTTTTCTCTCTCTTTCTTTTCTTCTTCTTCTTTTTTTTTCTCTTTTTTTTTTTTTTTTTTTTTATCATCGCTTATAATAACAATATTAATTAACAGTTAATTGTAACACTGTAATTAATTGAATCAACGTTTAATAATTACAATCGTTATTGTACTAATTATATCCTCGATGAATTATTGAAAAATTTTTTGATTAGTTTGTATCAAAGATATATTAACAATTATTATTATTATTATTATTATTATTATTATTATTATTATTATTATCAATTATTTTGAAATAAATCACAGAATGTAATAATGAAAACGTTATTATTGTTTTTTGACGTTGTTGCTAAATGAAATTGTTAATAATTGAATTCATTTACAATTTAAAATGAGTATTTAGATTTTAATAGTATTTAGATTTTAATAGTATTTAGATTTGCAATTGACAATGATTGTATTACAATTGTTCTTGTTTGTTATTGTTGTTCCTATAGGTTTTTGCACCGAATATACTTCATTGTGTAAAACCTAATCAGACTCAACCAGAAGTTTCAGCAGAGAGAGCAGAAGAGAGGATAGATGTGATAAACGTGGTACGAGCTCTACTCGAACATGCTTCGACGTTGTTTACAGTGCCTGCAGCATTGTTAGATGAATTGTACCTGCACATGATGGATACTCATCCTGCTGAATTAGATTTAGCTCTCTCCCGACGTGCCGAGGAGTAAGTTACTTACTGCGATAGAACTGATTCTCTTATTCGATTAATATTATGTATTTAACCATGACGCTCTTTGAGTTTAGAATTATATATTTAAAAAAAAAAAAAATATATATATATATATGTATATATATATATTCTTTTTATATTTGATCAGTATAATTTCAAAATAAATCTCTGTAAGTTAATAAAATTTATTTATAAATGGTAAAAGAGGAAATTAATTTTCTTTTTTTTTTTTTTAAAAGTGTACCCTGTAAATCTGCACTTTTCGTATCCATTTGTATATATGAATAGAAACCAAATATTTATATCATTAAATATTTATTTTGCATCGGTATAAATAATCGTAAAAATAATATTATTACAATGATTAATAATCTATGAAATGTAAGAGAGAATGAATGGGAGAAAGAGAGAAAGAGATACATCATAAATATATGAAAATTTTTTTGACACATTTATCTTTTAGACAATGCGGAGACGAGGTTGATCCATGCAGCGAGGCAGAAAATTTTTCGGTTGAGGAGACATTAACGACGTCTGGGAATACACAAACGGCCGCTACAACAGCAACGAGAAAAGTAAAATCTAAATAAAATGGATATATTCTAATAATAAATTAAATCTAAATAATATTTTCTAATAATACGATTAGAATGTCTTTAAGTATAACAAACAATTCACATATAATATATGGTTATGTAAAAGGTTTGGACGAGGGAAGAATGTTTACATCAAACAGCTGGCGTTGGTGGTGATATTGGTCCAAGGCCACGTCGTCCAAAGAGGCCAGGGACACGTAGAAAAGATGAGGGACGAAGCAATAGCGTCGATAGTGGATCAAGCGAGGATCCAACCGATCCACGTAGAAAATCATCACCTATGGTTATAACAGCTAGTTTAACTATACCAATGTCTGGAGCGTTCACGTTGAACCTCGATGATCCAGACATTCCTTATATCGAAGAGACACCTAAACAACCTAGTGCACCACCAAGAAGACAAAGACAACGTTCTATATCCGGTTGTAGCGAAGGTTTGTTCTAAATATATTTATTTACAAACATTATTTCACCTTTATCCAACCATAAATACATCTCGATCATTTTATATATATATATATATATATATATATATATATATATATATATAAATATATATACTATTGATATATATATACTGATATATATATATATATACTATTGATAGTATTGATAAATTGATAATATTACTTATTGATACCATTGATAATATCATCGATAATACTATTGATAATATATCAGTTATTTTATACTATACGTAATTATAATTTATTCATCATCGTATCAGGTGGTAGACACGGTAGCGATAGCGCTGTTGGTTCATCAGCAACGTTATCAGGCGATCAAGTACCAAGTTCACCACCTTCTTGGGCTTCCACACCACCGGCTAGTCCTGACAGTGCTGTCACAGCTGTCTCATATATTCCAGATCAACAAGCTGTCCTACAAAGGGTCTCGTTTACCACTTCGAGCGAAGTTAGACAGGTTTCCAGGGGTAGTAATCAAGATGCCAACAGGAGTAGCGCTATTCCTTATACACCTAGTATAACGAGTATAGGCGGTGCTGTTTTAAGGTAATACATTCATACAATTTAATACTAAATTAATTTCCAATGCAAAATACACACACACACATACATATATATATATATATATATATATATATATATACATATACATATACATATACATTAAATAATTCAAAAGTGTTATTCCAAATTAACAATAATTTCAGGTCTAAAACGGCAGATATAGAAAGGATGTTGCATATCGGTAGTAATAGATCGGATCCATCAATTTCGGCCAATTTACAACACGTTAGTAAAACAAACACTACGACAACAACAATGTCAGCGACAAGCTCGTCGGAGAATAAGAAATATACGAAAAGACGTTACACCGATTCGAGGCATCAGACTCGTCATATACCGGACTTGGATACGCTCGGTGGGAAGGCAACGACGATGACGGTAACGTCGTCTATGACGATATCATCGACTACGTCATCGAGTTCGGTAATGGCAGCGCAAAATCAACGTGCCTCGACAGGTGGTGTACAACCTGTTTGGAAACGACGAGAATTGATCTCGAGTGCACCGAAGGGACGTGAAAGTTACTTCTGAAATTATCATCATCATTATCATCATTATCATCATCATCATCATCATCATCATTGTCATTGTTATCGTCATCGTCATCGTCATCGTCGTCGTTGATCATTTATCATCATTTTCTAATCCTATTAGCGATTCTAATCTTTTTTCTCTCTCTCTCTCTCTTTCTCTCTTTCTTTCCCTCTCTATCTCTATCTCTATCTCTCTCTCTCTCTCTCTTTCTCTTTCTCTCTATTTCTCTCTAAATCTCACTCTCGCGCAATCGCGTTGTCATCGTGCGATCATTATTATCAATTCGAATCAAATCAATCTTGTAATAATAATCGGAACAAACGAAACAACAACAACAACAACAACAACAACAAAAAAAAGCAAAAGCAAAAAAAAAAAAATACAAGAGAAAAATACTTTTCTAATCGATTTTCTTTCGATGAAAGTCTCTCGTTCGATTTTAGAATGATTATTTATACGATAGGAGCGGGGGAAGGGAGGGAGGGAGGGGGAAAGGTAAGAGAATTGCGATGAAACAGGGACAATGGAAGTGGCGGGAGTGAAGAGAGGGAAAAGGGTCTAGGGGTGGAGTGGGGGTGATGGACCAGGGAAAATGAGGAGAAGGAGGAGAATGTTAATTAGGTTTATATATTGTCTCTTCTTTACTCGTCGATTGATTAAGTAGATACTTACACGCTAAGACTCTGTTTTACTGCCTATCAGGTCTGGCCTGGCTAAGTGTTCCTCGTGATCCCGTGATGGTATATCATGAATTTTGTGTCTAATTGTTCTTTTTTTTTTCTTTTTTTTTTTTTTAAAGATATATTTCTTTTTCACTCTCTTTTCTTCTTCTTCTTCTTCTTCTCTCTTTTCTTCTTCTCTTTTCTTTTTTTTTTTTATTTTTTTAATTTCGTTGCTCTCGTTTCTATTTTTATCTTCATTTTTATTTTTATTCTATTTTATTTTACTTTGTTTTATATTTTTTTTTTTTGTTTTTTATTATTACTTTTCTTTTTTTATTTATTTATTTATTATTATTATTATTATTATTATTATTATTATTATTATTATCATTATTATTATTGTTTTTTTTCTCTCATTTATCAAATATGGAGTATGTGATATGTATATGATGTGGTATTCAATTGATTTCTAAACGAGAAGATCTCCGTAACAACGTTGATTATTAATAATTTCACAATTTGAATGAAGAGATCAAGGGATCTTTCTTTCTTTGTTCTTGATTTTAATGGATTAATTAAGAAGGATATCATTGTTTTCTTTTTATTAATTTATTTATTTATTATTGTAATTATTATTATTATCATTATTATTATTATTATTTTATTTTATTTTATTTTTTTTTTTATTATCGATCATCATGCGAGATTAATTCAGCATATAATGATCATTATATTCCCTTATTTTATTTTATTTTAATTTAATTTAATTTATTCCTTTTCTCTTTTCTTTTTTTTTTTTTTTTTTTTTTTTTTTTTTTTATTTTTATTTTTATCTACTCATTAAGGCGCATTATAGATTCGACTTAGATAATCATCATGGAATTTTTCGAAAGAGCTAATAATAATAATAATAGAAAAACAAAAAAACAAAAAACGAAAGTGTCTCCGTTTAAGCGTGGCCGAGACATGAAAAAAAAAAAAATATATCGAGGGATCCTAAACGTTGATCTAATCGTTATGTCATTTAATTAACGATATCGACGTCTATTAGTCTATCTTTATTTTTCTTTTTTTCTTCTTCTTCTTCTTTTCTTCTTTTTCTTTTATTTCACTTTTTTTTTTTTTTCAATCTGTAAGCTAATAAATGAAGGTTAATTTTTCTACCATATTGTCTATAAATTAATGATAATGTCCATGAGAATATTAATCCTGTCCGATTAATATAAGGAAAATGTGTTTAGAGATTAGAGACAATATCGAAATTATATTTTCTAAAAGATAATTAAATTATTTTTTGTATATGTTGTATAATTTTTTTTCTAAACATAATTTAAAATTATTAATTATATAATAATTATTATCGGTACAATAATATTAATTAACATTTATATATTATTAAATATAAATAATAAATAATTTTTAATTTATTATTTAATATATTGTCTATCTCTAAACATAATTTAATAATTAAATTTATTAATTTTAATTTATAACAAAAAAATTCCTTTTGTTGTCTCTGGAGACAAAACCAAGAAAGAAAAAATAGAAAGTATATATATGTAATAATCATCAGAAAGATATTAAGATAATCTATTTTATTAATAGATAATTATTACAGATAATTATTACAGATTAACTAAAGCTCTAACCAGAATTATTAGAATGTTAATAGAAAAAAAAAAAAAAGAAAAGAAAAGTTTGAATACATTATTATAATATTATAATATTATTATAATGATCACGAAAAACGTGAGTCCTCGTCGAAGATTGGCAACTTATTAAGTACGATTGGTTTCTCCGAAGAATATCTTGGATTGTCAGATGGATTATTATTCTTGGGTATGTCTATTTTAAATGATTTCTTAAAATCATCCTTGGAGCTAGTACTAGAATCAATTTTAACAAATTTCTCAATTGATTCTTGTGATAATGATCCAGCAAACGTTTTATCATCATCCATGATGCCAGTTTTATATTTCTCATGCCGAATCATTGGATTCTTCGATCCTTGATCTTTCTCTGTAAAATTTTAGTTAAGCGTTTTGAAAAGAAAAAAAAAAAAAAAAAAAAAAAAGAAATAATGATTGAAGGTTAATCAAAATTTTGAATATTTTTTTTCTCTTTTTTTCTTTTTCTTTTGAAAGATTATTTTTATATAGTATAATTGCAGGTACCAACCTTCAGAATCTTCCCGTTGACGATCAGAAGACATGACGGAATCGACGATTAACGATGATATTATATTAAATTAATTACAAATTGATTATATTTGTAACATGAAATCCTTCGATAAAATCATTGACTTAGAAAGATAAAATTATTATGAAAAAAAGGAGAATAAGAAAAAAAAGAAAATAGAACATCTAAACAGAAACAAAATAATAATTACGTATCGATAAGTTTTTTGGAAGAATTATTTACTCGGAGTTTTTTCTTTATCTCGTATTGGTCGGTGCATACATTTAGATTAATAATTTTTTCAAACTTTCTTTAAATACTAATTTCGTAACATATCGTAAAACTTATGTTTTTCTTTCTTTTTTTTTTTTTTTTTTTCTTATACGTAATTAATTATACGTATATTAATTATTGCACCTGAAGATAGGCTACACTTCGTACGTCGCTGATGTAGATTGACAATGCTATCTAAAAGATATTTCTGGAGCCCCTTTATATAGGCTAACAATCACACCCACGTACAACGATGTACGTACTGTTGCATATCTTCAGGCATGACATTATATATTTAATATTCCTATAATTAATTAATAGAAAGTAGAATTAAATTAGAAATATTTCGAGATAATTTTAAGCAACAAAAAATGACTAATATTTTATCCTGAAAAATTTTCATTAAAAAAAATTAATCATAAATTAACAATATTTACAAGTGACAAAAAGAAAAAAAAGGTAAAACATAACAAAATTTAATCACTATTTCATTTACTTTTACACAATTAAGAATTTTTATAATAAATTTTATACATTGTTTACAGATTATGCAGATAACATAAAAATAAATTTGTTCATTAAACAATGTTTTATTTTACTTAGAAGATGTTTTCTCATCTTTGAAAAATAAAACTCTTCTGCAAGAATCTATAGAATTGATATGTTCGTTTTTAGAAATGTTCAAGGCTTTAATAGGTGTCTTATCGTAGGAATTGTCAGAAACGATAATTTCATTGTTAGGACTGTCGAATTGATTTAATGATTTTATTTCATTCAATTTAGATCTCTTATTTGGTATAACATCTTTATCTTTGACCATAGATGCCTCGAAATCTGCAATAAAAAGGATAATTAACTTGATAACATAAATATCTCAATGTATGTAATTAATCAATCTTTAATTAATTATATTACAGTAATGAAAGTATTAAAAAAAAAGAATTCCAATCCATATAAGATATTTATTGATTATTAAAAATAAAGAAATATATTTCTTTTAAATTATCTCATTGATTGATATATCATTTAATTGTTAATTAAATTATAGTAGAAATCTTTAATTAATAATGAGAAAGAAATGAAAAAATAAGAAAATAAATGAATGATATTTAATAATAACCAGATGTTATCATAGATCAAGAAAAATCATTGTTTAAGCAATAATAAAATTAGAAAATTGTTCTAAACAACAACAAGAATAACAACAACAACAACAACAACAGAAATAGAAACAGAAACGAACTTAAAAAAGAAAATTATGATATTACAAAAAAATAATTACTTACATTTTTCAATTTTCTTATTTTGATTATTCATCCTTCCGATCGACGTCTAATCGCAATGAATTATATTTATTAGAAATTCACACACGAGGTCTAGTTCTTGTATATATCAGATAAGCAAAAATTGACGAACGGACAACAACGACGTGACGTTCGAACCGAGAATGACGTTATGTCGTTTAAAACAAAAGAAAATTTCTTTCCCTAGTAAAGAAACAAAGAAACATTGATATTTTTTAACCAATCGTTATAGGGCAATCATTAAATACATCTTTGTTATACCACGCTAAAGATATTGTAGATCATCTTTAAGGCTGTTTTTATGTATGCATATACGTATCTATCTAATATATATATATATATATATATTTTTTTTGTTTTGTTTATTAGGTTCTTTTTTCATCATTAGATAATATCATTCAATTTATTATCTATCTTTTATTTATTATTCATGATTATTTTGATTCATTAATTGCATACAATTATTTCCGATATATTATTTATATAATTGACAATGAATAGATATATAATTTATTTATTTATTAATTTTTTTTATTAATTTCAATTACAACGTTTACATTGTAAAATCTTCCTTGTCATTTTTATGCAATTTTCTTTCTTTTCTTTTTTCTTCCTTTTTTTTTTTTCTTTTATTTATAAATATTTTCCAATATATATATATGTATAATCAATCATCGATCTTTTATATATTAGATACAAATTGAAAATAGATTATGTCTACATTCGATCGTCATGTTTATTATTATCTTCGACAAATTTTTAAACGAAAGAGTTAGATTGCGAAGGTTGGACGAGGAATATTTTTTATTCTTCCCTTTTAGAAAATTTTTGCGACAAAGCCATGATTTCTTTTATAACTCATTTATTTATTTATTTATTTATTTATTTAATTAATTCTCTTATCTCATTCCTCTTTCTTTCTGTAATTTGTCAGATTTGTCGCCGTGCAAATGTAAAAATATCATATATATCTATATATATAATTATACATCGAATTATCAAACGTTTGAGAAAAGGCTGCTCGATCTTCAATTAATAATAATTATCGTGATCTATATGTCTGTTTGTGTGTTATGTGTAAGCGCGCGCGCGCGCGCGCACGTAAGTTTGTATGATGTATGTGTATTAAAAATCGATTCTCTTTTTTTCTTTCATCATCGATTTCATTTCTAATTTGATTTAGCTATTTCAAATCTCTCTTTATTTAATCTCTTTTTAAGATAATCTAAAATGTTTAAACAAAAGAGAAGAAAAACGTGACAAGAACAAAAATAATAATAATAATAATAATAATAATAATAATAATAATAATAATAATAATAATAATAATAATAATAATAGTAATAATAATAATAATAATAATTGAACGTTTACGACGAGGATTTTTTTTCGTGAGACCGGCTCTCTCTTTCTCTCTCTCTCTCTCTCCTCTCTTTTATTTATTTATTTATTTATTTATTTAATTATTTATTCTTTCCAATAAAAGCATCTAAAGTTAATACAAACTAAATCAAAAACAAGAAAAAAAAAAAAGGAAATCAAAAAGAAAAATTGAAGGTACGTGCACGAATAATATACAATAGCAAAGATAATAATAACAATAATTATATAATAATAATAATAATAATAATAATAATAATATATAATAATGACGACGAAAAAAAAAATAATAATAAAGAATAAAAAGTCGTAATACTTATATTTTTTTTTTTTATATTTTTAAAGAGACGAACGGGGCAGGGTAACTTAAAATCACTTAAAATCATCGTCCACTACATATATATATATATGTATATTTTATGTATATATATATATATATATATATATATATATATATATCTATATCGTTAATAATAATAAAATTCGGAGGATATTTAAAAAAAGAAAAAATCCAACCGTGTACCTACATACGTATCTATCTACATATGTGTATGTGTATATAAATATATATATATATATATATATATATATATATATATATATATATATAGGGTGGACCAAAAATGTCTATTTAGGTTAAAAGATTTTAAATGGTTTGAAAAATCAATTACTCCATTTTGAAAGCATTTAGGCTAATCTTTTTTTACGAATTGTAAAACTTCGAGTTTAGCTCGTTAAGCTGTAAGTTTAATTACATTATTGCAACATCTCGAAAAGGAATAATCGATTTTTAAAATCATTTAAAGACCTTTCGCCTTATTTTTAAATCTTTTCGATCACCCCATATCAAAACAATCTCTAAAAAATATAAATATACATATATTTATATTCGTGTTTGTGTGAGTGTGTGTATATGTATGTATATAATATACTATATATCTCGCTCTGTGTAACTAGCTGCCTGCTTAGGGCTGGACGGATGTGATGCAATAATAAGTATTGTCTAATTTACTTTCAAGGACATGCTAATTAATTTAATACAATTCAATTAAAAAATTAATTAAATCGAGAAAGACTTCGTTACCATAAGATTTTCTTTTAAAAGTTAATTCTAATTTAATCGTCCGATCTTTTTTCTTTCTTCCATTTTTCGTCTCGTTTCTTTTTCGTTTATTTCTTTTCTTTTTTCTCTTTTTTTTTTTGTAAATTAAAAAATGACAACGATTATATAATCCAACGACCGATTTCACCTGATCGTTTGATTAAATTAATTAACAAATATTTCGTCATATTAACTACAATAATATATTCTTGACTCGCGTGCGATTAACAAATAAACAAATTACGTTATTTTACGTAATTAAATTACATTAATTTATTATATTTCTTATTGATCTAGTTTAATTCGGAATAATATGGAATTATATATGTATATATATATGTATATATGTATATATATATATATATATATATATATATATATATTCGTTTTATATCACCACGCGTTCAGTTTCACAACCAAAGCAGAAGAGAACTATCTTACCGACGTTCGATCGGTAATCTTTATGATCGATCTCATCGAAAGTTAATGATATCGATTTAGATTTATATAAACAATAAAAAATGCAAAAACAAATCTCGTCGAGTATATTTCATACGTTCGATCGTGTTAGTCGAAAGAAAAAAAGAGAGAGAAAGAGAGAAAGAGAGAGAAAAAAAAAAGGAAAAATCATTTCTATGATTTTTTCACATAGTTCTTCACAAAATTTTTGTTTTTTTTTTCTTCCTTTTCCATTTTCTTTTTTACTCTCTTCCCTTCCTTCGTTTTCTTCTTCATCGACTAATTTTCTGTTTTTTTTTTTTCTTTTTTCCTCTCGTCGTAGAAAAAAGAAAAAAAAAAAAGAAAAAAGAAATAGATATTAACCTTGGCTCTCTTTCATTCCTAAACTTCCGTAGAATGAGTCTGTATACGGACTTTCTTTTGCGAGCCATTCCTCGATAACGTTGGACTATGTGCTGAGAATCCTGGATTATGGATTCCAAGGGGTTTTGGTTTCTTTAATGAGCTTCTCAAAGGAGATGCAGTACTAGCTGCACTTCCTGACGTAGCTACGGACGCCATCGAACCATTACCGGCACCACCCACATATGGTTTACCACTTGCATCTGTCATTGAAATACTTCCACCTACGACAATCAAATGTTCACATAATTCATTGATCGAGAAAAGGATTGTTTATGTGTTCTCGGTCAATAAATTATTTTCTAATTGGATCGTTAAGAGAAAAAAAAACTATATGTATATATATATATATATATATATTATTAGAATAATTTTTGTAATTTAATTATAATTGTCTTTGAATAATCTAATTTCTTATTTTACTATAATAATTTTATATACTTTCACATTTATATTATAATATTATTCTTTTTTTTTAATTTTTATAACAAACGATTTTATATTTATTTTATATATATATATATATATATATATATATATATATAATTTTTTATAATTGATGTTCAGTTAATAATTAATGTAGAAAAACTCGAAGCATCAATGACATAAATTAATTTATACAATAATTATTTAATTTTCAATATATGCATAACAAAAAGGAAACAAGAATTTTAATAAAAAAAAATCTCTAACAAATCGATCGATAAATGAAGTTAAAAAATTAATGAATTAAAAAAAGGAAGAAAAAAATATATATGTGTATGTGTGTGTGTGTGAAAGAGAAAGAGAGAGAGAGAGAGAGAGAGAGAGAGAGAGATAAAAGCTGTATTGTTGCATCTCTTGAAAAAGCGCTGTATTTGTTCAAAGATAAATGACTACCATGTTTGTTTATCTTATAAACGGACGTAAACATTTATACATCACACATACACACACACACACAGACACAGACATACACATATAAATATACACGTAGTTTATTTGTCCACACAAAAGCTGTAAGTCTAGTTAAGTGTACTTGTAACTTGACGTTTCAAATTACTCTGCAAGTAAATTCCTTGAGATACCGCAATTTATTGCGCCAGAATATAGGCAAATATGTATGTTGAACGTTCAAGCGGAACGAAGGGTTGCTATAATACAGGGGCATTTTCAGAATCTCACTGTCTCTCTTTCTCTCTTTAACTTTCTCATTGAGCAAATATATTTATATGTGTGAATATACATATTGAACGTATAAGCGGTACGAAGGGTTGCCATACTACAGGAACACTTTGAAAACAGCTTTCTCTCTCTCTCTCTTTTTCTCTTTCTTTTTTTTTTCTCTTCCTTTTTTTTTATCTTTATCGTTTCCTATCAAAGTTTAATTCAATTTTCTAGTTTGGGAAATTTGAAAATGTTTTTCTTCCTTTTTTGATCTTTATAACAGTTTTTCACTCTTCCACATTCTCTCTTTTCTTTTATTTTTTTGTTTTACATCAAAATATTTAATTTTTAATTCTTAATCAGAAAAAAAAAAGAAAAAAGAAAAAAAGAAAGAAAAGTAAAAAGAAGAAGAAAGGGATATCAAGTTTAATAGATATTTGTATTGAAAATCATGAGAGATTTTAATCCAGCTAAAATAATTAGTCCCTTTAATTAGTCGATCTTTAAAATATTCGAATGATTTATCTAATTAATGACAATTATCAAAGTGTAATAATAATAATAATAATAATAATAATAATAATAATAATAATAATAATAATAATAATAATAATAATAACAGTAAAAATCATGGATATGGATCGTTTATAAAAAAATACTCTAAAGTTATAAATCTGCTTATAGTTAAATAAAAGACATACCATTCGTCGGTCGATGGTGTTCTCGATATCCTGGATTATTTATGGTAGCTGCACGAGGATCAGGGATGGTTCTTAGCTTCGTAGGGTCGCCACCCCTTCGTGCGTAAATTCCCTCGTAAACGGCAGAGACGAGCACGCCAAAGTTCAAGGCAATGGCAGCTAACTATAACATTAAATCATTTTCGATTAATTAATTTTTATTATTATTATTATTATTATTATTATTATTATTATTATTATTATTATTATTATTATTATTATTATTATTTCGTAGAATATTTATCTCTCTTTCTCTCCTTCTTTTTCTCATAAAAATTCTTTCTCTATCAAAAAAAAAAAAAGAAAAAAAAAGAAAAAAAAATATAAAGAGAGAAAGAAAAATTATTAATTAAATTAAATATATATATATATATATATATATATATATATATATATATATATATACATAATTTCTTGTATCTGTACAAATGAATATTATTTTATAATATGCAATAAAAATAAAAAGAGGGGCTGCTTCACAGAAGATGAAGCTAATTTCCCGTATAAAATATTTCATTGTTATTATATAATAACGTTAAAGTTTTCTATTAAAACTTTACCCTTTTCACATATCGTGTCAAATACAAAATCCGATTATCTCTCTTGGTTATTGTATAAACACGTCGTTTTCACGTTTTAAATTTCTCAACTGAACGAATGAACAATTTGATGTGACACACACATACACACACACACACACACCAGACGGATACACACAGATACGCATAGACATCCCATACACGAAATAAATGATTCTGGTTGAGGAAAAAAGGAGTGAGAGTGAGATATAGTGAGATAGAGTGAGATAGCTAGATAGAGACAATGAAAGAGAGAGAGAGAGAGAGAGAGAGAGAGGAGGGAATTTAATTAGCAGCCAACAAAGAAAACGTCAAACCATTGTCGTTTTGATATAATAATTAATAGTACAATGTTATACTATATATATATATATATATATATATCTTTCTCTCTCTCTCTCTCTTTATTTTTCTCTTTTTCATTGATAATCATCTTTGCGTAAGTGATAAGAAACGAAGGCGAAACAATTACAAACCCTTCTTTTTTTTTACTTAACTCCTTGCTACAGTACAATAAAAAATAAAGGGATCATCTCGTCATGGGCTGGGATATACAAAAAAAAAAAAAAAAAAAAAAAAATAATAAAGAGGAACAAAAAGAAATAAATAAAAAAGGAAAAGGAAAAGAACGCTGATGAAAGGGATGAAAGGGTATTTTTTTCTCCCTCTCTCTCTCTCTCTTTCTCTCTCTCTCTCTCTCTCTCTCTCTCTCTCTCTCTCTCTTTTTTATATTTCAATCAACCGAAAAAAAATTGAAATATTAGTTCTCATTAGTTTTTTATTTCGTTTCTTCTTATTTCGACTTACTGCACGTTTGGAAAATTTGAAAAAGCACGATTTGTTTATAAAATTCAGACACGAAGAATATTCGTGATTCATCGTTGAACATGAACAATAGTTTTATCTTCGCGAAAGAAAACTATAGTCCCTCTCTCTTTCTATCTCTCTTCTCTCTCTCTCTCTCTCTCTCTCTCTCTCTCTCTCTCTCTCTCTCTCTCTCTTTCTTTCTCTTTATCTATCTGGTTAGTTTATACGTCTCGTGCTATCTTGTCGAGACTAGTCGTTCAAGGCCACGTGCAATTTTCATTCTCTCCGTTTGGTGACGATTCACGTTTCAATGTCGATGTAGAAAACGACCTTTACCTTGCCCCGTTTCTGCTTGTTCCTTCTATCCAATTCAATTTCGTCCTTGGCACCTTTCAAACGACTACTTCTTCTTCTTCCCGTAATACCGACAAAACCACCACCACCACCACCACCAATACCACCACTACCACTAACACCACCGACATCACCAATACTGTGATGTAACTCTAACATGACGGTCATATGTTTATTCTCGTCTGATATATATATATATATATATATATATATATATATATATATATATATACATGTATGTATTTTCACGATCATACGATTACGAACAACAATAATAACAAGTAAAATATTAATACTTTATAAACTGATCCTTTTCAATGATATTTTTTCAATCTCTCATTTCTTTTTTCTTACAGTAAGATAAATAACACAAAAGTACCAATTACGAAGAGATTATTTTTCATTTCTCACTTTTCCTCATTTTTTTGTATTGACGACGAATCACTGTTGCACTTTTAGATCGTGATAAAAAAAAAAAAAAAAAAAAAAAAAAAGAAGAAGGAAAAAAAGAAGGATATTTTTTTTTTAAATCTTCTTATTTCACGAACACATCTAAAACTTTTAATGACGTGATAGCACAAACAATTCATTTATCCCATTTTATTAATGTTTTCAACTTTAAAAAAGAATGACATTTTCTAAATCTCATTTTATAATTCCATAAACGTATATGAAATTTCTAATTGGGTGAATCGTAAAAAAATTTATTTACCCCAACTTTTTCAACTTCTTCTTCTTCTTCTTCTTCTTCTTCTTTTTCTTTTCGTTTCGTTCTAATCGTCCTAACGACAAAATCGTCGCAGTATTTTCACGAGCGCGAAAAGAAGAAAAGAAAGAAACTTTTAATCGCGTAAAAAAAAAGAAACAGAAAAAAAAAAAATAAGAAAAAGGAAAATGGAGAAAGCAAAAGAAAAATTAAGAACGAGCTTGTTCGAAATCGAAACGTTCACTGCAGGACCGACAATGTCGTCTCATTGTTTTTAAAGAGCATCACGACTCGTGGGTGCTCTTACACATACTAAACGTGCATTGGCTCCTCCCCCTTTATCCTCCTATCCACTTATTTCTCAATTCCTCTCTTGTCCCCTTCGAAGACAGGCTTAAAGAACACCTGCGAACGAGTCGTCGTCGTCGTCGCGTCGTCGTCGTCGTCATCGTCGTCGTCGTCGTCGTCGTCGCGTCATCGTCGTCGTCGTCGTCGTCGTCGTCTGGCGTCGTCGTCGTCGTCGTCGTCGTCGTCGTCGTCGTTGTCGTCGTCGTTTGGCGTCGTCGTTTGAAGTCGTCGTCGTCGTTTGGCGTCGTCGTCTGCAGTCGTCGTCGTCGTTGTCGTTGTCGTCGTCGTTTGGCGTCGTCGTCTGAAGTCGTCGTCGTCGTCGTCGTCGTCGTTTGGCGTCGTCGTCTGACGTCGTCGTTGTCGTCGTTGTCGTCGTTGTCGTCGTCGTTTGGCGTCGTCGTTTGAAGTCGTCGTCGTCGTTGTCGTTGTCGTCGTCGTTTGGCGTCGTCGTCTGAAGTCGTCGTCGTCGTTTGGCGTCGTCGTCTGCAGTCGTCGTCGTCGTTGTCGTTGTCGTCGTCGTTTGGCGTCGTCGTCTGAAGTCGTCGTCGTCGTCGTCGTCGTCGTTTGGCGTCGTCGTCTGACGTCGTCGTTGTCGTCGTTGTCGTCGTTGTCGTCGTCGTTTGGCGTCGTCGTTTGAAGTCGTCGTCGTCGTTGTCGTTGTCGTCGTCGTTTGGCGTCGTCGTCTGAAGTCGTCGTCGTCGTTTGGCGTCGTCGTCTGACGTCGTCGTCGTCGTCGTCGTCGTAGTCTGGCGTCGTCGTCGTCGTCGTCGTCGTCATCGTCGTCGTCCTCTTCGACCACAATCAGATGGCCTTTAAACCATTTAATACTCCTCCGATCATACACACGCTTAACTTTCATACGTTTAAAAATCTTATCTCGTGCGTTAATGTATTCATTGTATTTTATCTTAGTCGACGTTTTATATATCGCGGAAAAACCAATTCAAATTCATTATCTATTCGTATGATCGATTATAAAACGTGATTTGTTTCTAAAAAAAAATTTTTTTCATCAATTTATTTATTTATTTATTTACTTCTTTTTTTTTCTTTTTTTTTTCCTTTCCTAATCTCGATCCAATGCTAAATCTATCGGATGTATTATAATATTATTAATCTCAGAACATGTCTACTGGGAAATTCTGTTTTCGTTTTTTTTTTCTTTTTTTTTCCCCGCGATATTCCACGTATTTTATCTTGTCGATGTTTTACATTTATCCGTATATGCTACGGGAAAAAAAAGAAAAAAAAAAAAAAAAAAAAAAAAACCAATAAAATTCATTATGAATTCGTTTAATCAGACATAGAACGTTGTTTGTAAAAGAATTTTTTCATGAATTGTATATTATTTTTTTTTTTCTTCTTTTTCTAATCGTAATCCAATACTGATCTATCGTATATCTAATTGATCGCGGAATACGTCGAATAGGAATGTTCTTTTCATTTCAATTATATATATATATTTTATTTTTCTTTCCTTTTCTTTTTCATTTCTAGTTTTTATCTCGCGGCGTTTTGTTCTTTTTTCTTTCTTTTTTTTTTTTTTTTTTTTTTTTCATACAACGGAAAAATCCAATAGAATTCATTATGAATCGATGCGTTCGTTCAATAAAACGTGATTAGTTTATAGTAAAGAAATTTTTTTTCTCCGAAATAACTTTTCTCCCTTCAATCTTGATCTAAATTCTATTATTTACTTTTTAATTTAATATCCAATTTATTTCACGTAGATATTATACGTACATAGAAATTTTTGCCCAAAAAAGAACGACTCTTTAAGCGGTCATTAAAATTACAAAAGATATTTATTCTCTAATTAACAAATTTCATTTATCGTTATTTTATAATAAGAAGAAAATGGAACGTACTCGTTTAGGATAAATGTGTGATAACGTAGTGGAAATAGTTATGGTTATTGATTCATTATATCCTAGCGGAACCATCAGTTTCGCAACAGGTATACATATTTATGTGTACGTATTACACGCGATGCACCAGTAACAGCATCCTTCTATTTCTCTCTCTTTCTCTCTATTTCTCTCTCTTTCTTTTTCTCTCTTTCTTTCACTCTATCAGATGCACCTGTAGAAAGATGAAGGAAAAAGAGTGGCACATCGCAACATCGACGTGACGAAGAGAAAATAGACTGTATATAAGAGAGAGAGAGAGAGAGAGAGAGAGAAGATAGAGAGATAGAAAGAGAGAGGCGATTGAGGGCTGAGAGGGATAATAGGAACAGCATCTCTCTCTCTCTCTCTCTCTCTTGTTCTTTCTATATCGGATGCACCTGTAGAAATAAGAAGAAAAAAGAGTGGCACGTCGTAACATCAACGTGACGAAAACAAGATAGACTGTTTATGTGAGAGAGAGAGAGAGAGAGAGAGATAGAGAGGGAGAGAAAGAGAGGGCTGGAGGGCTGAGGGCTGAGGAGGATAGATCAACGAACGGTTTTCTTCCGTCCGATAGGCGCAACAGGTTCTACTAAAGCCGAGATAAATGACAAAACGAGAAGTTCTATGCGGGACTACTGTAGGACTACTATATACATACATACATACATACATACATAGATAGATGCATAGATAGATGCATACATACAACTATTCGTCCTCTTTTTCTCTCTCTCTCTCTCTCTCTCTCTCTCTCTCTCTCTCTCTCTCTCTCTCTCTCTTCCTCATTGCGTGTTACGAGCAAACGACTTCAGAGAATAACGGTAATGGTTATGTGTACGTAACTATGTAACGTATGTATGTATGTATATGTGATCATGTGAGTACAGTAAAAAGTTACTAGAGCATCTATGTACGTATAAAGGAATGGCGAACCCATGACCTTTGGGTCACCCTATGACCTCCTCAATGGAGATTTAAATTACCCCGTAAATTTTCCTTAAGGTCTTCGTCATATTAAAGTTTTGTTGATCGCGTTAAAGAAACGAAAAAAAAAAAAAAAAACAAGGAAACAAAAAAAAAAAATAAACAAAAAGTAAGAAGAGAAAAATAATCGATCGAAATTTTTCATCTCTCGTGAAAAATAAAAAGAAAAATAAATAAATAAAAAAGAATACAGAAAATAACGACTCGAAATTATCTATTCTAATTGAAATTTTATTCTTTTTAGAGAGGGAGAGGAAGGATGAGGGTACTTCGTAGGAAGATTAGAAACGTAATAAACAATATCTTACCTGCATATAAAAAGCTTCTCCTCTTGAAACAACGAAACTGTTCGCTCTGTCATCCGTTTGCAAAGCAAATAAACTCGCAGCTACGATGGCCAATGACGCTAAAAAAAGAAATGAAACAAAGAAGAAAAACGAATCAGATGAATTGCGTTATCATTCATTCTAATCGTTTCTGAAGGTAAAAATACTCATTAACATAGCAAATAATATAAGATACTTAAATAGAAATTATCTAATGAGATAATTTATTTAAGCATATTCGAAAAAAATTTTTCTTCCTTTTTTTTTTCAATCTAATCCTTTTTCTTTTTTTTTTTTTTTTTTTTTTTTTTGTTCTTTTTTTAGCGTAATCATTCAGAAAAAAAAATGAAGAGGATATTCGATGAAATAGGAACGTTCTAATCGTATTAGTATTTCTTTTAATTTAGACGAGAATACTAATTGTTCTAATTAATAATAATTAAATAAATAAAGAATATCCATGTGTATACATACATATATATATATATATATATATATATATATATATATAATATGTAAATAGGTAATAATTAAGAAAATAAAAAAACAATAAGAGCAATAACATAGTTGATTCTATAACATTAGAAAATATCATATTACTGTAATAAGATCTATCATAGACATTCGATTCTTTCACTAAGGGTAAGTAGGCCACTAAGCAGCGCAAGCGACTAGTAATTCTAGCGTATCCGGTGGATTATGAAACGACTCTCTCTGTAACACTAAGAAGGGAAAAAAGGATTTCTCTACTCGAATGCACATTCTGGAATTCAAGATGCTTCCTTTATTCGACTATCAAGGTTGTATTTAAACTTCCTCCCCCTTATTTAAATCTTCTTAAACGATAAATTTTTATTTTTTTTTTATTTTTTTTTTTTTTTATTTTCTTTATTTTTGTTTTCTTCGAACACCGGAAATATCGTCTAATCTATTATTCTAAATATCAAATCATCACAAAAGCTCGGGCAATAATTTTATTCGTACTATATATTTTATTATTTTTTTTTTTTTTGTATTCTTTATTTTCCTCTTATTTTAAACTCCTTTGCTATTTCTTTCCTTTTCTCCCTTCTTATCAATAAATTTACTTCATTAAATATTGGAATTTTTCGTTGGAATTTTTTTCTTTTTCTTTTTTTCGAATTCGCAAAAATTAGAAATATCATTTATATAAATATTCTAATTTTCCATAAAAAATGTGGATTAAAAATAGGATTAAAAATGTTGACGCTGACATGGTAATTTGTTTTACTTTGCATTCGTATTATTAGAACGCCTACATATAACTTTGGTTACCTCGGAAATTGTATATTTTATAATTCCCTTGATGACAAGAAGGAATAAATAACGAGAAAAAATATTAAAGGATATTGAATTGTAATATATAATTAATAAAATTATCATTATCATTATCATTATCGTTATAGATTCATTCAATCTTTCTCATTTAATTTCTAATATTTATTTATCTTATCGTAAAATATCAAAAAAATATTTTCTATTTTCCATTTTGTTCTTTCATTTCCATCGTATTCGATTGTCCCTTTGGCATCCTCAATATTTTTCTTTTCTTTTAATTTTTCCTTCTTTTAACATGTTTCAATTTAAATGAAATCGAAGAAGGAATGTAAAAAAGAAATGACGGTGAAAAATTATTTTCCATACTTACTTGCCAAGGTTGCTAAAGCGACCTTGCCGATAAGAGCAGTGCTATACGAAATGACAACCTTCTTCGCAGATGAAGCCATGGCAAGCTGAAGAACGGCAAGGCCAACCAATATGGCGAGTAACGTAGAAGCGGCTGCAGCAGCCAATCCAGCCACCCACACAGCCACTGAAAACAGTAGTATAATAATATTGGCTATATCCTTAGAATTTTATCGTTTAATGTTTATCGTTTCATTAATTTACTCTATATATATATATATATATATATATATACACATACATACACATATTAAATAATGTATAATGTAATGTGTGTGTGTGTAAAAAAAAAAAAATATATCATGAAGATACAGGATGGAATGAAACTTCCTAAATGATTTTAATAATCGATCACTTTTTTCGAACATTTTTTTTCTTAATCTTCTAATTAGACTTGATCGTTGTACAATCCAAAAAAAAAAAGATTTTTGTAAAAATCACCTATGAACACTTGTTTATTCATCCTTATATTTTTGTTGGGATGAAATAAAAAAAAAAAAAAAAAAAAATGAGACAAACAAAACAAAAAACAAAAGAAACGGTCTCATTTGTTTTGTAAATAAATCCACGATAAGTAATATATATATCCATTCATTAAGTGTAATATTGTGAATTTTAATTACTTTAGTCATTAATTTGGGATATTAGTTCGACCGCGATAAATCGAGATACATATATTCATCGTTGATTAATTCGTATCTCGTTAGAACAGATCATTTATTATATTTATTTTGATTTTCTTTTGTTTAATTTGTTTTTTTATTTTGTCCTTTAATTTTTCTTTTTCTAAATGGAGCAATTTAATTATCATATTTATAACCATAATTTGTATTTTATAACATTTTATTAAAAGAGGGATCATTTATCATGTAAATTTTTGATGGTTATTATTTCGTTATGATTTCAGACTCAAATTTGTAGCATAAATTTTCTATATACTTTGTATTGTACACGTACATATACATGTGTACATTTATGTGTCATATATATATATATATATATATATATATATATATATTATAAATAAAAGATTTATTAAGAACTCACACACTGGTTGAAACCTTGAGACACCTTGGCCACATCTTTCTCGACCATATAAAAGGAACTTGCATTGTCTCCATGGTCCAAAGTAACCCTTTTCCGCAGCTGTACCAGCTATTAATAGAAAATATATAAATTATACAATTTATACATAACACAAATATTTTGTACATATTTGTGTATATATATATATATATATATATATATATATATATATATATATATATATATATATATATATATTTTGCTTTTCGATGGGTGACATCCATCTGATCAAAATAATACATCTTTCGAATATTTGTTTAAAACTTTTAATCAATGGGTCACCCATCCGATCAAAGTTTATACTATAATGTTGCTTAACTTTTGATCAATGGATCACACCCATCCGACCAAAGTTTATATTATAATGTCGCTTAATATTTTATCAATGGGTCACCCATCCAAGTAAACTTTTGCTCGTATGTCGTTTAACTTTTTATCAATGGGTCACCCATCCGACTAAACTTTCGTCTCGTACGTCGTTTAACTTTTCTGAAAATTTGTTATCACTTTATTTTATTAAATTATTATTTTATTAAAACTATATATATATATATATTTTTTTTAAGGGTAAGAGGAGAGAAAATGCATATACACGAATAATATATCATAAATATGTATACGATAGGAATAGGATATGTTGTAAATACCACTCATTCGTAACGTCGTAGGAATATTAAATGATAAAGGATCCATTCTTCGCTACTGTATTTCCGGTTCCTTCACGCTTCTTACCAGGAAAAGACGACTGTTTGCTTAATTAAGAGGAAACCGAAAGGCACAGGTGTCTCGACAAAAATGGATAGAAGGTATGCATTTGAGAGAATGATTCATCAAGTTCCCTATCTCATACTGATATCTATAATAAATCAGTATTTATAGAAAAATTATTATTATATATATATATATATATATATATATATATATATTACAAAAATGGTTTAAATACAAAATTACAATTAAATATTTACAAATGTAAATATTAATTATAAGATTGTTATATAAGTACATATATGCGTCAATGATTATAAAAATAATCCGATCAAAATATTTAATTATTATTATTTATTTTATACAACAACAATATTAATAATATTCATAATAAATACATATATATATATATATATGTGTGTGTGTGTGTGTAAAATTTATTATATTATATAGATAGATAGATCATTTTCATAATAACAGGCTTATTATATATGACCTGTATATTCAGTGAAATATAAAAATTCATAAAGAGTAGGTGAACAGAATAAAGAGAACAATATTTTAATTTACGATGTTGTACGAATGAAATTCGAACAATGGCAGTCACGTTCCTGATATCTAAGTTATTATAATAAAGGTACGTACAGACCGATATCACGATTTAACTCGGTTACGTTTAAAGTTTCTCTCATGTTACTGATAATTTACCATTATCAACGTTTTCTATTCTTTTACTATCATGATAAGATATCTAGTTTATGATTACTACTTGTATATATATATATATATATATATATATATATATATATATATATATATATATGTATATATACACACACATATATATATGCAATAATATTGCGTATCATTGTTATTATTATTATTATTATTAATTTGGTTTTTTCTTTTTGTTAAACAAATTTTTCTTTCTTTTTCACTATAATTTACATACATAATATATATATATATATATAAATTTATTATTTATATATTAAATAAATATACGAGACTGTTATTATGAAATAAATCTAAATCAATCGTAATTCTTGTATAATAAAAAAAGAAAAAAAAAAAAAAAAAAAAAAAAAAGAAAAACCAAAATATAAATGCAATTATTTTCTAATAAATTCATTTTAATTAATATTTTATTAGGAGAACGGATACGAAGAGAGAACAAAAGGGAAGGAAAAAAAAATTGAGAAGAGAAGGAAAAAATTGAACATTATTTTGTTAATGAGCATTTAATTTTCTTTACTTACGCGAACTCACGGTATTCGTCATTAATTATATTAAAATGCATTGTTCCATGGCTCGTTTTCACCATCTGAACCGAGAAAATTAGTTCGCTTAGCTTCTCGCTGATAGGATTAGCCATTTTTTTCATGGTTAATAAATATCTACAGTTAATTTAGATCTAATTTGTTCGACTAATCTCAACAATTTTTCGTTATACCGTTTTATCCGATGATTATTATACCTTTTATTAGGCTAGATAGTAAAGTATTAAAAAAAGAAAATGAAATATTCGGTTTTTTCTTTTTCTTTCTTTTTTTTTTTATTTACGTGATCGCTCCATCTACTTTAATTAGTTCGGACACTTGTTTGGATACTTAAAAAAAAAAGAAAAAAAAAAAAAATATATATATATATATATATATATATATATATATATATACATATATACATCGATCTATTGAAATTAATTATTAAGACGAATTTTTACGATTTCGATTAGTTCAGCTGATTAAACAGTTGAATGGCTTTTACAAAATGTATGAAAGTATTTCTATATATATATATATATATAATTATATTTTATTTACGATTTTGATTGTTACTGATAGTAAACAAGAAAAAAAAGAAAAAGAGAAAAATAATTTCTTTTGTTTACTTTTAATTTATTTTAAACTTAATTATTATGATATGGATTGTTACGGGTGTTCATTGAATACCGAAGAAATAATATGTCAATTTTCTCCTCATCGTAATAACTGACACGTAATTAGGTTTTAGATTTTGATTAGGATTCGTTCAACGTTGTTAAACGTGAGAGGCATCATCATCAATCAACGTGATCGTAAAAATTGTTTCTATTCTTTTCTTTTCTTTTCTTTTTTTCCTCTAAAGTTAAACGTAATCTATTTGTTTCTTTTTTCTTCCTTTTTCTTTTTTTTTTTTTTTTTTTTTTTGACTGTAGTAGTATGACGTAACTTATGACAAATTTAAAGACCAAGCACGAGCTTGACCTTTGATACTGTGGATTTACCTAGAACGTTGCGTGTGGGTGGACACGTATGATCTAATCTAATACGACTCTTTCATTTATCAGAAATAGAAAGAGAGAAAGAGAGAGAGAGAGAGAGAGAGAGAGAGAGAGAGAGAGAGAAAATAGGACATAGGATAAAAATAATTAAAATCATTTGATTCAACTGACACGTCTCGCGAAATCGAAGGAAAATTGCGTTCAGTGAACTATTGATATATTTATAAAAAAAAAAAAAGAAAAAGGTTAATTGTATTAAAAAACAAAAACAAAAAAAAAATATATATATATATATGAATATCATATTTAAACGATACTTATATTTTTTTTTACTTTAATAATACTTATATTCGTAGGAATTTTTAAAGACTTATATACGGTAATATGTTTTCATATATTCAATATATTTCAAGAAAAAAAAAAATAAAAAAATAAAAAAATTGATTCCCTTAGTATTTTCCTACAATAAAAAAAAAAAAAAAAAATATTAGAGTCACCCATCCGATCAAAGGTTCATATTCGAATGTTGCTTAAATTTTTTTTGTCAATGAGGTCACCCATCCAATTGTAGTTCATACTAGAACGTCGCTTAACTCTTTTATTTATCATCAATGGATCATCCCCATTCAAACGAACTTCGGCTCGTAGTACTACATCATTTAACTTTTTATCAATGGGTCACCCATCCGAGCAAAGTTTATACTAGAACGTTGTTTAACTTGAAAAAAATTTTTTGTTTATCTTTGCGATAAATTCTTTTCAAATGTAATTTTTTGACATCTTATTAATCCAAACGATTTAAGTTTAATTCGATTGATGATCTTTCTTTATACCATTACTTTTTTTTTCGTTCTTTTTTTTTTTTTTTTCTTTTTTTCCTTTTCCCCTTCCCCGTTCGAATAATTCCATTGTTGTAATACTTCCAACGCGATTTTCCTTCGACTTTGCTAGTAGTTTTGCTTTTACGTTAGTAATAATAGTCTAGTCTCTTGTTGCAATATTATGCAATGCACCTACAGTGTTTTATAATAGAACTATTCGAGAACAATGGTCTTTAGACGATGAAACAACGACTTTTAAAATTGTTCGCAGTACAATATATTTATAGATACGAGCTGAACATAATATTTATTTTATTTGGTCCAACGATAAATTCATTTGTCTCATTTATGCTTTTTGTTTTCTATCCTTTCTCTCCCGCTCCATCTCGTTCTCCTTTCCGCTATAATTTTTTTATTTTTTTCTTTGTTTTTTTCTTTCTTTTTTAGCTACCAAATCGTAGAGCAAAAATTAATGACCATTGAATATGGCCATAATTTTGCTTTTCTTTTTTCCTCCCTTTTTTTCTTTTTTACCTTTTGTTTTATAATATTTCATCGTGACATTTTATTTTTAATTTTGTTTTTGGATTAGAATCGTTAAAAAAAAAAAAAAAAAAAAAAAAATTGAAGTATGAACTTCGATATAATATATAAAGTTGATTCAACTGTATTTTTCGAATAGTATTGCGTTATCGAGATTTTCTCACGTTAACTCGACTACAACTACACGACCCAGATACATAGTAATCTCTTTTTAACGTGCACATATGCGACCATAGTTTCTGCGTTAGTATGTACCTATATATATATATATATATATATATATATATATTAGTATGTACGTAATATACATATATATATGCATATATATATGTAGATACGAATAAAGCCACGTTAACTATTCTCATAGTAACGATATTAGACCATATATGTCATACATTATGTCATTGTTCTCGTGTTATATACCAAAATCGAATATGTATTACGTAACAATTAATTATTATTCCATTTTAATTAGATGATCTATATCTATCAGGTTAGCAAATATTTTACAATCTTTTTAAATGATAATAAAATTTAAACGCAATGCAAATATGCACAATAGGATTGAGCCCATATTAAAAATTCATCCTTTAATAATTTTCATTATTCAATACGTATGGTCCGTGTAAAGTATTGCGAAGTTTATTTATATGTATTAAAAAAGGACAAAAAAAGAGAGAGAGAGAGAGAGAGATAAAGAGAGAAGAAAATAAAATACCACGTATCTCATTTCG